ACCTCAAGCCAAGCTCTCCGCGGTCGGCTCCGTCTATCGGTGGGGAGTTGGACCAGGCCCTTTTCCCAGGGACACTGGGCCCGCTTCCCATGAGTTATACCGGCTGGGAAGCGGGCGGGCCCAGTGCAGTGTCCCTTTTTACATGTTGCAGAGTATTCAATCATACATGTAGACTGAGTTCCATTTGAGTATGGCAGGTCAGTGTGCCTCTTCAGCCCGAAGGTGGGCCGCGTCAATCCCCCCTATACATGACAATACTGGATGCATTCGTCTTCACCCCTTCTAAGTCACTATTAACGAGGTCCACACAGACAATACTGGCTGCATTCGTCTTCACCCCTTTAAGCCACTTCCCCATCTATTTATCTGTGTGCCGAGTGGTGGCTAGGCTGCCTGCATTCGTCTTCACCCCTTTCAAGTCACTTAACCCCGAGACCCTTGGCAGCTTAAACCCTACCCGACCCTACCCTACCCTTCCCTTCAGCCAGAACGCACATGAACGGCTACGATGTCTGCCCTTCAGGAAGAGTGTACAGCAGTGGCTTTTGACGTGCTCTCTTCCCGGTAGGCCGTCGTGTGGCTTCGACTCTGTTTTCCTTTTGACCGTGGGTGGGTGAATATGAACTGTCGTTCCCCTCGACAGGGTTGTACTTCTGGACAAGCCCCCTAATGATGATGAGGCGGTCGGGGGGTTCATCGAAGAGGGGGGTTGGGATGAGAATGAAGTTAGGCAGGAGGCACGGGACATGGCAGTCGTCGAGGGCCCTCCTCTGCCAGGCAGTCTCAGTGTTCCTCCAAGGGGGGTTTCTATTGGGTATCGATGCCCACAGTCAACCACAGTCAACAGCGGACTGGGGCCCCTGGGGCCATTCAACGGGATTCAACAGGGCCCCTGGGGGGCCCACAGAATATCCTGTGGGGCCCACAGTCGACCACAGTCAACAGGTACCAGCGGACTTGACTGTGGTTGACTGCAGGATCTCGCCATGTTTGTCTGTACTAGGAGTGGTGGGTGTCCGCTTTTGCCTGCTGCTCCTTTTCGTCTCTGTGAATCGGGAGTAGGAGAAGAGGTGGACTGGACGGCGAGGTGGAGGGGGACCACCAGGCCAGCAGGTGATGATGGTTCTTTCCTACCGTCTTCCCCCGAACACAACGCACCCTGATTATGGCTGTACCGAACCGGAAATGGCTGTACCGAACCGGAAATGTGGCGCGTAAACATTCATTTTCAGTGTGCGTTATGTTTGGGGGAAGACGATAGTACCAGGAGGCCGAGGTCCCAAGGGATATGTGGAATATGGAATGTCGCCATCCCTTCTCATCCACCCCCACCCACCCTTGACAGAGTGTGTGCCATCCCAACAAATGATGGGCCCTTCATTTGTTTGTTTGGGTCAACCTTCCCAATGTTCATTTATGCCCCAGCTCAACTCCCTTAAGGGCGTATTACGTCCACAGCTCAAATTTGACTAGAAAATTCAGAGTGGTTGAGAGACTCCCCCCTTGCCCCGCCCCCCGATTTGACACAGCCATTTCCTCGTTTTTTCCTAAAGCCAAGAACATGACTGGACATCCTTCATCCCAACCCACCCAGGCAGATACTGGTGCAGCCAGCCAGGATCGCCGACGCGGGGACAAGTTCAATGTGCAATTCCATTGACACAGACCAATTGACCTACCGACCGACCAACCCACCAACCAAGCTCAATGTGCAAGTCCATTCACACAGACCAACTGACCCACCGACCGACCAACCCACCACCCAAGCTCAATGTGCAAGTCCATTGACACAGACCGACTGACCCACCGACCGACCAACCCACCAACCAACCAACTCAACAACCCGACAAACAAACAAACAAACAAACAAACAAACAAACAAACAAACAAAAAATACAAACAAACAAACAGATCGGCACCTACAAAAACAGAGTCGGCCGTTGACACAAACAACGATCCTCATTTCTGCTCTGTCAAGTCAGTCAATTACAGCAAAGCGTATGGATACAGAGTCCAAAACAGATCGGCACCCCGTACGCATAATCTAGACAGAAAGCTATGGCTGACTCCGTACGCATACAGTTGCACCCTGTAATCTTACAGTGTGTGTCTGGATATGCACGCACTCCCATACGTGCATGCACCCCCAAAAAACATGCATACACCTACGTAACGAAAAAAGAAAAGAAAAGACGAGGAAATAAAAGCCAAAGAAAAGGAAAAAAAACAAGAACAAGAAAAAACAAAAAAACTGCATAAAAGACATGTTACGCAGCTGTGTGTCCGAACAACGAGCAACGGGGGCCGTTAAATTCCGTTGAATCGCCCCACGGGCCCCGTTGAATCCCGTTTAATGGAAAAACAGGGGTCTCCCGTTGAATCCAAAAAAGACGGGATGGGCACATTGGGTCTCGGGCACATGGCCCTACGCGCCCAAACACTATACACAGAAAGAATAAAATAAAATAAAAATCAACCCCTATTATCAGGGTGGGGTGACCAAACATGCCCCCCTCCCTTCCAAAAATCAAACTGCAAGATGAAAAAAAGTTGGGGCCACCCCATACCCCAACACTGTGAGCACATATATGTGCATGTGGGTGCATGTCATTTTTTTATTTTTTTTTCCACAAATGCTCCAATCTATTCGTCCAGTCTCATTTCCGAAGGGGCCCTACGTAATAGCATGGACCCCTCGTGGAGCAGAGATGGACAATAGACTTCTAGACTGACTGCGTGGGCCGAGAATATATAGTCTGGATTCGAATTCAGGTCTGTGGAACTCTGTGCACCACAGTTATGGGTCCCTAATAATTCTCTGTTTTCTCGTTTCTCTTCTGTTTCTCGTTTTTCTTTTGTTTTCTCGTTTTTTTTTTTGTTTGCTCATATTTCTTTTTTGTTTTTTTTCTCGTTTTTCTTTTCTTAGGAATGCGTGCAGTGGCCCTAAGCGCCTCTATACTCACCACATGCACAAAAGACAAAACATATGGCAGCGTTTTTTTTTTTGTTTTGTTTTGTTTTTTAAAGGGCGATGGCCTTGAGGTATTATCATCGGACTAACCAGCCCCCAGGTAAATTCAATCTTGTGTCTAATCTGACAACGGTGGCCTTTTCAGCCCAGGGTGGCCTGTTCCACGTTCTAGCAGAAGACTCTTTTTTTTTTTTTTTTTTTTTTTTTTTTGAACGCCCAGGGTGTTGTAGAGGCCAAGGACCAGGCCCGCGGTGATTGCTGGTAGCAGCAGCCAATGGTTGTCCCGACAGGACAGGCCACCTACCCTACCCATCCCCACGTTAATACTCCCAGCGCACCCCCTGTCCCTACTGTTATACCGCGTCAAACGCAAGGACGCAGCCATTTGGGTAGGCTAAGCATGCTTTATGTTCTACACAGTTCGCTTGGCAAAGGTCTTATATGAAGGGGGGGATGGGCAGGCTTCTGGATGGTAGTGTCCAAAGCCAACACTCTCCCACACACCACCACGCAAACCACTCACACGCGCACTCACACCCGTGTTGGCTGAAGACCTTACTGATACCGACTGGGAGGATCCAGCTGACTATCTCAGTTGGATCGCACCAAGAGTGCCACAGGCGGCCGTGTGCATTGAACCCACAGCCTCCTGACTTCCACTTGCATGCCTAACCAATTGAGCTAGGACGCTGGATGGAGCCCAGATTCTTTCTATCGCAGGAGAAATTTTGAAAAAAAAAACAACAAAAAAAAACTTAAAAAAAAACGAATAGCAAGCTACTGAGGGCTGACTGAGGGCTGTACCACCCCACATGCAGCCAGGAAAAAGGGCATTTCAAGCTCTTAACATACTAGCAGTGTATCTACCTATGTTCTACCAGAAGATTCATGCTCATGTTGCACATACGGAGCAAAGGTTGGTCAGTAGTGGAGCAAGACCGTCAGTCTCCACAGCTCTCGAAGAAAAGGTAAGTGCGTTTTGCTTCTACTATTTTTAAAAAGTCGATACGTTTATTTTTCTTCTGTTCTTTTCTTTTAGTCCGTTCTACAGTCTTCCCCCGAATACAACCCACGGTCATTATAGCCGAATTTGGTCCATTCTTTCAGTCTAAATTCTGCTATAATGACCGTACGTTGTATTCAGGGGAGGACTGTAGATTTCGTTACTTGGGCGTACAAAGAGAAAACAGCTGGGAAGATGCAGTACAAGAGAGAACAAACAAACAGGGGAAACAACCGAGACCCAAATCTGCCAACAAGTGCATTTTCTTTTTATATTTTTTGTGTTTATGTTTTCGATTTTTTAAAAATATATTCAAACATCAAAAAAATAAAAATAAAAATAAAGGGTTGTGGTCCTCGAAAAGACCTACAACCCCTTTTTTTTCCCGGGGGGGGGGGGGGGGGGGGGGGGGGGGGGGGGGGGGGGGGGGGGGAATTACTTTTAGCCCGTTTATACCCGTCCTACGCGTTGAATCTAAAATCGGACATACAGTTACACAGCACAGCACCCCGTAAGCATATCTAAACTGAAAGTTACGGCCGACTCCGTACGCCTACTGCTACACCCCGTAATCTTACGGGTGTGTATGAATCTCTACTCCCATATATGCATCCACCCCCAAAAAACGTGCATACACATATGTAACAAAAAAGAAAAAGAAAAGAAAGGAAAAGACAAGAAAAGACAAGAAAAGACAAGAAAAGACAAGAAAAGAAAAGAAAAGAAAAGAAAAGAAAAGAAAAGGGAAGGAAAAGAAAAGGAAAACAAAAACTGCATAAAAGACATGTTACGCAGCACTTAAAAACGAACCACTTCTACCAAGGAAGCATGCACTCGTGCACCTGCGCTACCCACCTGCGAAGTCCAGCATTATTACTACAAAAGGAAGATACCAGCACTAGCCATGCTTCAGAGAGGGGGGGAGGAGAGCGGGGGGAGAGAGGGGAGGGGGCCGCGGGGGGGGAGGGAGGGCAGAAGAACAGTAACTACGAAAGCTGAGTCACTCACGACATAGACGACCGCGCCGACAAACGCATTAAAAATTAAGATAAACAAGCAGACAAACAAGCAGACAAAGGGTGGATAAACACACAGTAGACAGGAAGGCAGACAGACAGGCAGACGGACAGACAGACAGACACATCTTTCTAGACAGGGCAGACAGACAGATATCTATGCAGCAAAAAAGGAGTACAGACCAACAAACAGACACATGAACAGACCGCACGTCCAGGTTCATCGATGCGCAGATTCAAATACTTCTAGCTGGAAGAACCCCTAAAAAACGACTTTTGATCACCATTTCCAACCGATTGCGGTTCCGGACTCGCATAGCTGGAAGACAGACACATCTTGCCGTACAGAAAACACTCTCGACTACCAGAAAAGTCTTTTGACACATTCGACAAAAAGCTGCGCTGCAAAAATTCGATGTGAAGAAATTACCTGAACAGCAGAACCTAGACACAGATTTCAATCAGAAGAAATCCCCTATCTCAACGGCAGAAACTATGCACAGTTCTAAAAAAAAACATGTTTGGCTACCGCAAATAATATGGCGTGGCAAGGAGAAAATGCAACCATACCCTCTCCTAGCTATGGGGACGATATTCCCTTCATCTACATAGTTCTGTGGAGCTGGACGTCAAGCCAGCTCCCAACACATCCACCTCTCTCTCTCTCTCTCTCTCTCTCTGTGGCAGCGTAGAGTAAGAAGACTACTTGGGAACAGACTGAAAGATGCTCTCTCTCTCTCTCTCTGAGGCATGGTAGAGTAAGAAGACTACTTGGGAACAGGCTGAAAGATGCTGAGCCTGTTATTGATACTGACGTTTCTCTCTCTCCCTCCCTCCCCCCCCCCCCCCCCCCCCCCCCCCACTTCAAGACGGCTCCGGACACGTTCTCTCTCTCTCTCTCTCTCTCTCTCCCCTTCTCTGCCCCCCCCCTACTGCTGGACTGTCTGCATGAACACTTATTGCAGTTCCATTATTTGTTCATACAGAGAGTTATGACCAGAGTGCATTCACACTTCTTCTGGGGATGCACCTCACAGGCAAGAGCAGCGAAGAGTCCCTTCCCTTCCTAAGCAAGGCCTGCCTCCTTCAATACTCTCTCAAACGCATCCTCATCGTCATATTTAACCTGCACACAGATGAATCCCAGGTACAAGGTACAAGTCGTAGATTAAGCACACAACCGTTTTTTTTCCGCCACAGGCACTCGTTCCAGGCAAGATGCCACAAACCTGGTCACAACAATGGGCCTCGCTTCACTACTCCCGACATGCACAAACCACAAAATATGGCATGGCGGTGTATCTTTCCATGCTCTAGCATGCTTGCAGGTATCTTTCCATCTTCATTTTGCGCATTCGGTGAGTAGGTAGTGAAGTGAGAGGCCCAATACCTTTCCGATGCATGCCATCTTCAGCGTACCCGTAAGTGTTCTCTACAGCAAAGCAACGTTGGTGAATCTGAGAAAAAGTGGAAAGGGTGTCTCCGTCTGCGCCCCCCGGAACCGGCTGTCCATTGGCCACAACAACGACTGGAGCAAAGAGGTCCTCAAATCACCATGTTCAGGGCATTGCCCGGAAGGACTGGAGCAACGAGGTCCCCGGAACAGGTAAGCTGAACATGGAATTGAAGCACCAGTATGTCGAACGGCATTAAACCACCAGTACTTGGCCCAGCTATCGTTGCCGAGCCTGGAATCCCCCTGCGCGCCAATATTTGCCGAAGCGCCGGGGTTCCGTTTCAACTTTTTTTGGCTGCCGTTTCCAGCCATTGAAGTCCGGTACCCCGAAGCCCAAACTTTGCGTAGCGTTAACGGCAACGGCCCGCGGCCGATGTATGGGCCAAGTGCTGGTGGTTTAAGCATGGGCTCCGTCGACCACAGGCTTTTGCTGCATGGGCTTCGTCGACCACAGGCTTTTTGCTGCATGGGCTTCGTCGACCACAGGCTTTTTGCTGCATGGGCTTCGTCAACCAGGTTTTTTGACGACACGAGGAAGGTTGGTGTGCAATGTGGTAAAAAAATCAACAGCTGGCCTAGCTCACAGTTGGTACACCCCCTGAACTGTTGAAATACAGACTTGAGTTCGAGTCCAGATACCTTCAGATGAAGTGAATAAAATATTAAAATTAAGAATCATTTGAAACTGTCTGCGGCCGGTCAGTTGAAGGATGATATCTATAGGTCGTTGCCCTTCATAAAAAAAAAAAGAAGAAAAAGAATGAAAAAAAAAAAATTCAACAGCGTGAAGACTCGGAGGAGAGAGGCGATAATGGGGGCACACATTGTTTTTTAGGTCAAGCGCGTAGCGCCCCTCTTCATCGGCACTCCAAGAAATCCAGCACCGCCCAACACCAACCTGTTGACAGAGCTCAGTGTTTTGCTTATAAAAGAGCAGAAACCACTTCTTGGAAAGCTGTGACGAGATATGGAGAAGTGATCGTCGCACTGGCCAATGGTTTGTGAGGAGGCCATTCCACGAACGACACAAACTGTCAGACAAGGGCGAGCAGTGCCGAGCATTTGGGAGAACAAAAAAATTGCATCGTGCTGTGACTCCGAGAATGCTGCGAAGAGGAGATGTATGCGAGTTTGGAGAACGTCGTAGACAGTAGATACATATTGTTAGTTTATTGTTTTTTAATATATATTGTTAGTTTATTGTTTTTTAACATCATAGTTGCGGCGCATCATGTGCGCGCAAGTTGCGCACGTGCGCCGCACATGAGCGCACGTGCGCCACACATGCGCACACGTGATGCGGCACATTTAGAAAAAAAAAAAAAAAAAAAAAAAAAAAAAAAAAAAAAAAAAACAGAAACGGTAGGTCGTCGTGCCCATAAGTGTCCCTCCCTTTTAAAAAGGGAGGTAAGTACACAGAAAGAGAATATTTTGGGGCCTCATCGTACTTCTAGTTGGTTTGATTCTCCTTTCCAAAAAGTACCCTGCAAGCAATTAGCAGGGTTTCCGTAACCTTTGGAAGGATGTGCATTGGACTGCTTGAAGACCACGATCACGCCAGCAATATATCCCGGATTCGGATTCAGGTCTGTGTTCCAAGAGTTATGGGTTACGAACTTACCGCAAACACTCCAGGAGTTGTCTCGTTTTTTTTTTCCCCTTTTTCTTGCGTGCAGTGGCCCTAAGGGCCTGGCTCCACTCATCAGCACTTGCAGAAAAGAAAAAACGTATGGCCTGTATGGTTCCAGTTTCTAGGAGAAGATTCATTCTAGTTTTGCACATTTGGTGAGTAGTGGAGTGAAGCCCTCAAAATCACATGCCCAGTTAGTAAGTCGGTAACCCATAACTGCTGAAACACGGACCTGAAATCAAAGCTACACTATATGTAACTGGCCTACTCACTCCCTCCTTACTACGAGTCCAGTGGCGACCCTTCCAATGACCACCTCATTCCTGCCGAAGGGCCCCTTGCCATTTTTTGGCAGGGACCTTTTGAAGTACCGGCAGGGGTTGTCTGAATAATGTGAAAGGGCTCTGTGCTCTCTCTCTCTCTCTCTCTCTCTCTCTCTCTCTCTCTCTCTCTCTCTCTCTCTCTCCAGCGTGTATACACACATCACGGTTTTTTTTTTCTTGTTTTTTTTTTTTGGTGCGCGCACCTGGGATTTGCGCACTTCGCACCGTGCAGCGCACTTCACCTACGCGCCACAAAGTACAGGCAGGGGTTGTCTGACTGATGTGAAAGGGTTCTGTGCTCTCTCTCTCTCTCTCTCTCTCTCTCTCTCTCTCTCTCTCTCTCCTGCGTGTATACACAGTTTTTTTTTTCTTGTTATTTTTTTGCGCGCGCACCTGGGATTGGCGCACTGCGCACCGGGCAGCATACTGCGCAGCGCACTTCACCTATGCGCCACAAGTATGTTTTTTTATTTTTTTAGTTTCTTTACATATTGTTAGATATCTATAAGTAGTATGAACTCAAAGAATGCACTTTTATTTTCTCTTCTCTTTTTCAACATATTGTTAGATATCTATGAAGTAGTATGAACACAAAGAAAGCACTTTGCGAAACAAACGACAAGAAGTTCATCACACGCGGCAAACATGAAGAGCACACTGAAACCGCGTTCTCTTTGCCTCTTTGTATACAGTTCTTCCTTCTCTTTCCCCACTGTTTCCTTCTTTTGCCATCTCTTCTTTTAGCTACACCCTTTCACTGTGCCCCCTGTACCACAACGGCCCACTTGTACGCTGTGAAAAAGCGGCAGAGTACATGGCGAGGGGATAAGCGGACAGGAAAGAAGGAAAAAGAAGACGAAGCAAAGGAAGACAAAAGGAAAACTAAGGAGTCTGGATAAATAACATTACATATATACCTATATATATGTCCTTTGTATATTGCAACAGATAGAATGGATATGCCACAGTTAAGTAGAGACCAAAGAGAAGCAAAGCATCTCTAACCATGGGAACGTGAGAGAAGCTTCTCTTTGGTCTCTCCTTAACCTTGAGAGAAGCTTCTCTTTGGTCTCTGCTTAACCTTCTCTCAGCTATGGTGAATAGAATGCATATGGCACAGTTAAGTAGAGACCAAAGAGACGCATCTCTCACGTTCCCTCAGCTATGGTGAATGGTGCAGCCCCGTGGTCCCAGACTATGCTGAGGTTCAGAACGTTGCTGCTAAAGAGATGGAGAATAGCAACGAGACTTTACCTCGTCCATCCTTCGATCGAAATGGTCCTCAATCTTGTTCAGCATTTCCTCACCCTTTCGGTCACACACAAGGTTGAATGCCGCACCTGCATGCAGACAATAAATGTCAGTCGTCGTCATTAAGCTCAGACCTTACGCTTATGGAGCATTCACAGGCATTGACGTCCTGGGTACGAACGGACTGAACAGAGGCGTAAATGCGGCCCCATTCATTGACAATACCTGGAGCCACTCTAACAACTCCCTCCAAACGCTGCCTGTGATAGTTCGTCATTACTTTCAAGCGAGCTGCAGTGACAGACAGACAGACAGACAGAACCACAGAGCAAGAGAGAGGAACAGAGCGAGAGAGAGAGAGAGAGAGAGAGAGAGAGAGAGAGAGAGAGAGAGAGAGAGAGAGAGAGAGAGAGAGAGAGAGAGAGAGAGAGAGAGA